TTGGTTATCCTTGTCAAATGTATTCATGATGACATATATTGTATTAGTAAATTTACTAAATTCTTCAAATGTTGATAATACAATTATAATTGCACTGTATATGATATACTATTTCAGTCATTCCTGATAAACAAATTCACATTAATACTTTCATATTCTGAATTAAATTAAAGTATTTGATATTAAACTTTAATTCCACTAACTATTAATAATCATTAATATCAAATATCCCTGTCAGATGAATGCATAAAGATACCTTACATATTTTGAAGTATCTAGATCATTTAAAATTAAATTTTAAATGCACTAACTATTGATGATGATTATTATCAGTTATCCCTATCAGATAAATAAATGGTGATACTTTATGTAGTCTGAAATATATACAGATTATATCTGTGGAAATAATCTAAAAAAGAACAAAACATAAAATAAAAACATGATTATGCTTTATATCAGTTATCCCTGTCAAATAAATTCATTATGATACTATTTATATTATAAAATTTACTTCATTCTTCAAAATTTTGTAACACAACTGTAAATGCACTATGTATGATGAATTTTTTCAGTTATCCCTGTCAGATCTAAAACATGGTGATTATTATGTTTCTGAAAATAGTGTATTTTATGTATTATTCTTATGGCGTGGATTTTTTCCTTCAAAACAGCACTTCTCCACCTGTCCCTGTCGTGCACCAATTTTCTTAATGGTCCAATTCTTCAATTCCCATTTCTTTTAGGTCTTTAATTAATGTATGTGTATTATATTTATTATTGTATTATTATATTCTTTTGTTATATTTATAATTTTTATTAAACTTTTATGACTACAGATAATTGCTTACATTTTAGGAGATGCTGTGGATCTAGAATTATAGTTCAAATGTCTACTGGAAAGCGTCGCCCTAAAGATAGATCACCTGATTATAGGTAAATATTTTAATTTTTTTTAATTTTTAAAATTACTGCTATTCTATTATATTATTTTCTACTTCGGACATTATATTTATAAGACTAAGGAATTTAATAACTGAAGGGTTGTAGGGATACATTAAACTACACTTATTGTGTATATTTATATATAAATACATAAATTAATATATTTTTTTTTAATTAATGAGTATAAAAACTTTTGGCAGGTTATTTATTATAGATTCAACTCTAATGCATTCATCATCACCACAACTACCATCACCTTTCAACACAGTACTACCAACTTGAGCCAGCAACCAACAACAGGGGGTGTGAACTTCTTAAATCCCAAATAGGAATTATAATACAAATTTGTTTTTAATTGTCAAATCCCATGATTTATTGCAGTACCAAAAACAACGAAATAGCATTTGAAATTCATCTTAGCTACTACAATGTGTTTGGAACATCTACGTTTTTCATCACTCATCGTTTTTCGGGTTAACATTTTATGTATTAAAAATATAGTAACTTTGGATATATTTTAATTGAGGTGTTAAAAAAAACTTCTTTTATCTATAATATTGGTTGGATCATATTTAATCCTTTATTGTAATGAAATAAATTTTAAAGTAAAACCTCTATATTATGGATGCTTATGTATTATATATATTTGATTAAAAATGAGACAGTTTATAATAAAATATTTTTAATTTGGTTTTTTTTTTTTTTTTTTTTTTTTTCATGAAATTTTCATTAATTGGAGGTTTTACTTGAAATGATTTTTACTTATAATATTTAATTAATTTTAGACGATCACCGCCACCACGTCGTTATCGTTCACAGTCAAGAAGTCGGTCACCTATTTATAGAAGTAGGAGATCTCGTTCAAGATCTTATTCTAGAGGAAGATACTAAACATGTAAATCTTGAATAAAATTTTATAAAATTAGTTATAAATATATAAAATTTTAAAATATTTTTATTTGTATTTTTTAAAATAGGTAGAATATTGAATATGAAACTCATGACAGTTTTTGCAACTCAATTTCTACTCTTGAATTAATTGATCAAGCAAGTTTGACATGTGTTAAGTGATTAACCTTCTATTTTTATTCAATAAGTTATCATATGTATTTAATTTGAATGGTTTTTTTATAGCTACAGAGTATTAGTATTTAATTATGTTTAATATTGATGTCCTTACTATTAATAATTCAAATTACTATTGTATAATTTATTAATACAGTCATTAAAATGCATGCTGTGATTTTTTTCTTTTATTTTTATTGAATCATTTATTGTCATTTAGTATTTTGTATTTCAACTAGCACTATAAAAATTGTAAATCATTCAAATATTTATTTTCTATTATATTATTTTCAAATTGAAGAATAATTTAAAACATTGTTTTCTATATTTAAGTATAATTTAGATTGTACATAAAGTAATATTTTTCATACGACCAAAATAACATTAATCTTTCTAAATAAAACATATTGTCATCACACGTCAAATTTACAGACTTCTGATCAAGATACTAGTTTATAAATATATATATATATATATATGAGTAGTTATACTCATACATAGTTATACTATACATAATACATACATTTGTTACCAAACTATGCTTTGCAGCGCCCTTGGAGTTCTGCAATTGTTTTTCAAGGGCTTTGTTTGTTTTACCATAAAAAATGTATTAAGGTTGTGTCACTATTGCGGTTGCACCACATGATTTTTTTTTGTGAGTACTATCACGTGTATTTATGGAACGCGACACACTTGGGTATTTCAGTATTTCATCCGTTGCATGTCTCGGTTTGACAGCAGCGCCGCTCATACTATTTTTGACCGCTCAAAATAAAAACCCATGGTTTGCAATCATGCACCACACTACAGCGGTATCAACACGCGTTTTCAGTGTACAATAAGTCCAAAAACTAATCAAATGATTGAATGGACATCCTGTAATATTCAAAGAACTTCTGTGGATACGGTCTTAAGCTCAAATAACATTTTTCAAAAAGCTCATTGTCTTTTATTAAATGGATGTAACCAAAAACTCTCTTTTCTTAGAAAATGTAAATACCTAAGAGATTCTGCGATTGATATCACTTGAAAAGAACACATATAGTAATTGTAATCCATTCTACACAATTAAATAACTATTCAAATAGATAATATTAAATGACTATACTTGAAATTAATTTACTAAATTTATTAGTGTTGACTTATAAATGAGGTAATTAAATATAATAAGGATATTTTTTTACAAATTAAGGTTATATTACTTGCATTTATAATGTATATCAATCTTGTGATATTTTAATTTATATTATAATCACTGTGGACAACGAAAAATATACAACAGAGCGTTAAACCACTTTGTTGTGTGGTATAACAAATTATACCTAAAATAATTTTTGTTTATTTACGTTTTAAAGGAGAGGTTTTTCGTCGACAATTTTTGTCTCCTTCCTCATCCTATGAATATTTCCAATCTTAGAATATTATCTGAGATGAAAAAAAAAATTAACCAATTTATATTATTGTTCATCAACATAAAATAGGCTATGTAAAAATCTTATGCCGCCCGAGGCCATCGCGCCCTCTAGTCCCCCTACCCCTAATACGTTACTGGGTTCAACTATGATAGTGTAACACGACCTTTAATATTACAATTATTGATCATTATTTAAAACAATGAGCATATTTATTTTTATGATACTTTTACATTTATAGACCGTCCAGTGAGAGAACCCAACTACTTCGCGTATGTGAAATTCCGCCACCACGGGGCAACCGGTGTTAACCGATAGTGGTCGTCAAGCGCGACGCTCGGGCTGGTAGTGGTGGGAAAGCCCAAAAATTGACGGGTTTTGATCGCCGCCCAGTTGCGTTCTCTCACTGGACGCAGTGTACACTCAATATTAAAATCATGATGATAAACTTTTTTAATTTTTGATATGTTTTCACATTCCAGTTATTAGCCGGCCAAATATATTATATATACATATATTTAATATACATTCTCGTTTTGAGTTTCCTTCTAAACTCTGTTTCAAAAGAGAACATACATATATATATTTAATTTAATTTATATTTTAACTCAATACCACAATAATTTATACATTGAACATAAATATATCTATATACAATTATGGATACAAATATACGTATAACTAGGGATGCCTAGTTTTCAAATTGTCCACATTACATTATTAATTACAATAAAACCTTATTACATTACCGGTGGCATATTTTCAAGGGAAGGGGGATCCTGGGCCTTAATTTAACAATATTACTATACATAAACATAGAATTATTTTTAATAACATTCATAAAAATTATGAAAAATAAATTAGAATTTATTTTAACAAAGTATACATAATATTTGTTGTACTAAATTTATAATAGTTAGTATCTGGGGAAGAAATCAAGACTATATCAAAAGGTTAAATATTCAAATCGTAATTTAGTAACTATGATTATTTCACCATAAATATTTTTTTCATGTACTGATTATATATTTTCTTATATTGTTTTTCGCTCAATTTATTTTTATTTTTCTTCGATTGTTTCAAATAATGTAAATACATATACTTATAATTTATACTACTCTCGAATCTCAACACTTCTTTGTCATTTTCTGGATTTATCAAAGTACTTACTACTCTTGGTATCGATTGAATTTGATTTACAACGCTATTAAAAACTGAAGGAACTATATCTTCTGAGTCTTCATCTAAATCTGAGTCTGTTTCTTTAACGAATGACAAACTGTTTTTTTCTAAATACTTTCTAAACAAATAAATTAAAAGGATAATAAATTAATTTAGTAAATAATTAAATTGATAATTAAAAAACAATAAATATAATATGACTAGGTCAGAGTTAACTAATGAGCTAACCATTTAAAATTTTAATTTTAGTGTCCCAAAGATTCCTCGGGGGATAACGGGACAAAGATGCGAAAACCCGGACTGCCCCTTTTAAAACAGGACGTATGGTCATCTTAGTGTTATATGATTACGACTATGTATCTTATATCCATCCTACAAATCGATCTAATAATGCGATAATATTTCAGAAACTAATCTGAATTCGTTATAATGTCTACTTGAGATCGGACTCACACGACAACATTTTTATAACGATATAACTATATGACAGTAAACTGTCAACGTACGAACGATTATTTACATTTATGTCGTACACTTTTCTAATTTTCACATCATAAGTCTTGTAAAAATTCTTGTGCCGATCTGAACATGTCCAAAACAAGTGTCAACAGTGTGATTAATAGACTCTTTGCTGTTTTGAGGAATCAAAACAATGAGAGTTACAGTTTGGTGTTTGGTTTCTAGTATTTTTAAAATTATTTTATTTTTATAAGCTTTAAAATTAAAACATCAATTATGTCATCAAGGTTAAAAAAAATGGGATTTTATGGATATCCCCTCAAACTTCGAAAGATATAAAATTATTCTTATCTTTAGAATCCAAAACATTCAAAATATAAGGATAATTTGGTGAGGAATAAAACACTTCACTATATGCACCATAAAATTTCTTTTTTTGAAGCCATTAGCGTTCCCACTCACTTCTCACCTTTTTTGTTTTTTTACTCTAATTTTCTATAACAATTGGTTTATGCTTCGATACCATAGTTTATATTGATGAATACAAAATACAAAATATAAGACACCATAATTTTAGTAATTAAGTACAACTGCGCACTATAAAACTAGTTGTTCAGCTTAGTTTTTAGCTTTAGTTGTTAGGCTGTCGTTTGTATTCAGAAATATTTTAATTTATCGTGTGAACAATCAAGATATTTCTGTTGCTACAATTCTATAAATGTCTGGATTATTTTAAATATGTTTGTGTGTCATTACATCAAGTGTAGCAACATTTATATCACTAGTGTTCGTGCCATATAATATATTATACATATTATGTCATACAATTTAAAATTTTCATAAAAAAACTGTCATCGTGTAAGTCCGGTTTAATATATGGTACAGTGAAATGATACGCATACGGTTGTACGAATATTGTTTCTAAAAATAGCTTGGGAGCTAAACTAAATTCGTCCCATTTATATTATATATAAATAATTTATTAAATAATACAAAAAATGAAAAAAATAAAAAATATTATTATTTATTAAATAATTTTTTATTTATTATATTATCGATTAAAGTGATTAATGAATTTAATTGAATGTATGTTCCTAAAATGTAACGTAACATATGTTGCCGAGAAGCAACGAGTAAGGAAGCACCCAAGACACCAATTAATGAAAAAAAAACTCTTGATCATTGGTTAACCCATTAACACCGGAGCTTTTCTCGTATAAATTAATTTATTTTTCATAACATTTTCAGTATTTTGTATACTAAAAATAATATGACAAGAAATTTTGAATCCAAATAAAAAAAATCATATTTTATAGGTACTATAGGGGCATGCACAACAATCGGTAGTAATAATATGACTCACCTGGAATTCAGCACAAACTCGGAACAGGGTTGTTCGATACCGCAGTAACGCTTCGTTCTCTCTTCGTCCACGTCTCTATCATGATTGTCAACGGCTGTCACTGCCATAACGGTAACCGTGTGATCAATCAAGAGGTGCTTATACCGGGAGAACCACTCGAAGGTATCGGGCTCGAGCAGCGCGTTCAACCGCGCATCCGGCAGGCCCAGGGTGCGAGTGAAAAACGTCTTACATACTTTCACTTTCATTTTGTCGTCCAGCCAGAACTCCGTGGTCTCCTCGATGATGTTGTCTTCCACGTCCACCGTCCGCTGCTTCAGTTCAATGCACTTGCATAGGTACAAGTTGTGTGCGACCCGTGCTTCGACCACGTCGCGGAACTTGTCGTACGCCTCCCATCGTTCAGTCTCCGTCACGGTTGCCACGCAATCCAAATCGCAGTCTTCGTCGCAATCCGCGTCCAACATTCTATCGTACAACGCCACCAAGTCTACGTTGAACAACACCGGATCCGGAGCAGCTGTATATAACATATGATGGATACACACGTACTGGCAATGGCGTAATTCGAAAAAAATATCAGGGGTGGCAAAAGTTTCTCAGGATGCACCAACATTATAAAACAATGTTTTAATATAATCATATTATTATATTCTATTAATACAGTCAACTCGCGGTATAACGAAGTTCGATAAAACGAAAATCTCGATATAACGTATAAAACTGTCGGACCCTTGAAAACCTCGTGCTATAACGAAAAATCAAATGTATTTTGGTCCCCTCGATATAACGAAGATTTTTTGGCTAAAGTTCACGCAATGTAACAAATTTTTACAATTTTGGAGATTGATACAGCACATTTTACGAGTTTGTTTCGGCCATTCTTATGCGATAAGATAATGTTCATCTATCGTTTATATGATACACGTCTGTTAAATGTAAATTGTATTAAATATAAATAAAAATTTTGAATAAAGCTGATGACGAAGAGCCCCCCGTAAGCTCGAATGAAGCAAAATTAGGTCTCCGTGCGGTCTTAAGTTTTTTACAAAGACATGATATTGACGACAGTGTATTTTGTAATATTCTAAATTTGAACAACACTATTAATCGCGTAAGCGCAAATGGATACACACAAAAAAAATCCTATTTTTTTAAAAAATAAATATGTATGTATGTAATAAACAAAAAATGTATGAATGTATCTAATAAAATATTTAATAATAATCTCATATTGTATGTAGGTATGTAATTATAAAAATCTAATAAAATTTAAATTTTCTTATAAATATCGTTTAAACAGATTTTGTTGATTTATGCTTTTGATATAATGAATTTCGATGTAACGAACTTTTTGATCGGTCCCTTGAAGTTCGTTAATTCGCGAGTTGACTGTATAAAGTACATCATAATTCTATATAATTCTTCTTATATATAAATACAAGTTATATATAAATTTACAACTATAATATACAACTATAAATTTAAATTTTTTATAATTAATATATAGCCACAAACAATACTGAAATTTAAATTTTAAATCACATAATCTTTTATAATTATAATATAACTACAACCGATATTATAGCTAATATCTTATAATTTATTTTTAAATTTAGAGTTCTGTCGTCGTATTATTCTCGATGTTATTATCATCTCAATTTTCTCATTCTCCAGCTTTTTTTATTTCTTAATTATTTAATTAAATAATTCCTTATTTTCATTTTTTACTATTTAGCAATAAACCATAAATATGGAATTTTCAGGGATTGCATAATAATACTTTTGCAACCCATACATTATATTTGGGGTCGCAAATGCGACCCCCCAATTACGCCACTGCGTACTGGTGACAATCTATTTGCTTATATTATTGATGTTAAGTAATTTTTGCAATTCATTATTTATTTTAGTGTAATTCCAGTGGCGTATTCATAACTTTTGTATTAGGGGGAATCATTTGCAAACAAATCATTAATTTTATCATTATTTTTTTTACGTTTCTTACGTCCTCACACTAATAACATTATTTTATAACATTTAAAAAAAGTTCTAGGGGAGGATTTGAGCCCCACATCTACCCTTGTATATGCTACTGTGTAGCTCGATGGTAATTATTATTATACACGTCTACAACCCATATCCCACGCAACTTTTGCATTTTTTTAACTTTACTGATCCATTTTTTGGTCCTACGATTTTAAATTCGTCGATTATCTAACAAACAGTAATTCTCACTATTTTGACTATTTGGCGATATAGGTTTAAGTTAAATATATTTTAATGTAAGGGAAGTAAATTGATGCTCTTTTTAAACAAAAAAAAACTTAAAGAAGGAAGATTTTTGGACCAATAAACAACGGAGAAATGGGGCAGATGAGAACAAGGTAAGTAACGAGTTGGAGAGAATCATCTTTGGAGGATTTTTAATAGAAACCTGAAATAGTTAGATGGAGGATCGAAATGAAGAGCACTAATGGAGAAGATTTAAAGGTTGGATGTGTAACGATTGTCTTGATTGACCTATAGACCTTAAAAGAAAAATTAGTTGTTTTTAAATTTTAATAATGTTAAAATATTTTCAGCCATTTCTACTTTTATATTACATTACAATTACAAAATGTTATTACGAATACATATTGAAGATATATTGAAATTTTGCATGTTATCGTTAAGCATTATTCTTTTATACGATATTTGGTTATGATGCTCAAACAATTATAATAAAAATCAACTCTGAAACTAATACTCTCAAAACCATTTATAGTGAAATTAGAGTTAATAGGTACTTATTCATTATTACTTATTTCTAGAGCCCGGATTTATATGCATTTAAAAAGTGTCAAATATGATGCAAATATGCAAAAAAAAAATGGCGATATATATATATTTCAAATCATTTAAATCAATCTAAAACTTTTATGAAACTTAAAAACGATAGTACAAATAAAAAAAATAAAAATAAATATTTTAAATCATTTGAAGTTACCTACTCTCAAAAAACTAATAGAAAATTACACCTACAAATCTTTTAAAATACTATTTTTGAAACTTAATACCTATAAAGTCTATTTGTGCTCTATTCGAGGCGATTACAAAATTAACTGTAAATTAAAATAGTTAAATTATTAAAAACCCAAAAACCCATTAAATATACATTTTATATGCATTTATGAACAAATATGCAATAACCCTTGAAATATGCAAAATATGCAATATAAAATTAGGTATTAAATTCGGTGCGATATGAATCGTGAACATTTTAAACCTCTATAGACGTGCATACACTTAGTACAAACAAGGAAATACATTTAAATCCGGGCTCTACTTATTACCTATGTTAAATTTAAATAATCGTTCGTAAAAAATGATTGAAAATTATTTATCACTCATAGACAATAAAAAATATATCCACATTGTTGTATATAGTCAATGTCCAATAGGAAGCAATAAAGTAAATGTATTAAAATTAATTAAAGCCTCACTTGTTAAATCAATTTTTTTTTCCATAATACCACACAAAAAACCAAAAAATAAGAAGTTTTAATTCTGTACAAAATGTTATATTGTATAATCTTCCTAAATATACGTTTTATATCCATAGGCGTTATACAAAAGACTAACTAATATCTAGCTATGGTACTGGCCTATCTTACAAATCTTGTATATGTAGTCGTGTAGACCAGTGATTCCCAAAGTGTGTTCCGTGGGATAATCTCAAGAGTTTCGTAAGATATGCATGTGAATAGAGTAGTTGGTATATTGAAAGTAGTAGAGTAGGACACAAAAATCATGAGCTGTTTTTAAAACATTATTTGGAGTATTTGTTTTTCAATAAATAATTGAAAAATTGGGTAAATTTGAGTTTGAAACATTGAAGTTCAACAAAACTCAAACTATTGCCTAAGGATTCTGTTGTCGTAAAAGTCTGGGATACACTAGTGTAAACTATCAGAGAAACTCTATTGGTGTAGTCCATAGATTCAACTATTAAGTTTTATAATATATGATTTATGATTGTATTATAAGTTATAAACAAGGTGGTTATAAACACAGAAACCTATACTAAACGTTTAATATATTATATATCCGTGGTTATAAATTATATGTATACATTTTATATTAAGCTTATGTTTATTAATTTCAAGATTCGTTTGAATATTGTGATTAATTATTGCGATAATTATAATAAAATTTTCGGAAAAATAAAGTAAAAAAAAATCCTAGTTTTTGGAAAATAAATAATAGCATATAATAATAATTGAAATTATTATTATTTATTTATCTTAAGTTTCAACTATAATGGTTATAACCATAAACCTTATATTTATGAGTATTATACTCAGAGCCGTGTCAAACATTTTAGCGCCCCAGGGTAAAATTTTTTCTACAGGGCCACTGGGAACAGGTAATATATTGAGTGTAAATAAGGGCGCGCCCCTTACTTTTAAAAAACTACGGCGTCCGGGGGCAATTGCTCCCTTTGACCCCCCCTTAACACGGCCCTGATTATACTACTCATTATACTATGAGTATAAGGTCTATGTTTATAACTTATCAGCTATTAATTATAATAATACTGCGTTTTTAGAATATAAATTTATTTTGTTTACATAATGTTCTTAATTTATAGAACTAAAAAAGTTATATTACTCGCTGCCGAATCAAGCACAGAGATTATTTGCGAATAATTATGAACCAATGACTGTAAGATCATTGAAGCATAAGTAAGAAGATAACTTCATAAAAGATGTTCAAAAAACCAATAATATATAAAATAAATAAACACAGGATTCATTGGCGCTACTAGGTCTGAATTGTAAGAGGAGTTGAAACCCCACAAATAAGTTTAGTCAATATAAGCATGGAGGCTTCTCCCCTATTCCCCCACAGCCCCATTCATCACAAAATAATTACTTCAGATAAAAACAAGCATAACATTTTACTATACACTAAATTATTAATAAATTATATAATATTGTACATAAAATATGACATACCTAGATTACAATTTACAGATTAAGATCTAACATTTTATTCTTATTGTTAGCTAAGAAATGTTCTAAGACGGTGTCACTGTTTAAGATATGGGTTAAATTTCTTTATATTCTATGCTATGATAATGTTAAATTTGAAAAATATTGTTGAACGTAGCCAACTGTTCTCATACCACACAGCAGAGAATGCTCTTTCACATGTTCACATAGGCGGCACTTAGGGAGGGTCATAAGAGGGAAGTTGCCTCCCAAACATTTTTTGGGGTGGCAAATGTATACTTTTGCCACCCCCTCCCAAAAAAAGTTAACGAAAAAATCAAGCGAATTATTGTTTTATTATTAATTTTTAAATTTTACTTGCCTTCCAATAGGCACATTTCTTATAGAAGGTAAAGGGTGGAATAAAAGCTTCTGAGAGGCAGTGATTGAAAAATGTATGTGGGGGCTGAAGCCCCCCCCCCCTTGAATCATCCCCAAGTGCCGCCTATGCATGTTTAACAAGTTATATAAGTTTATAAAGGTGTTAGGTTAGGTTAGGTTAGATGATACAATTTCAGCCATTTCCAAAGGTATCAACATTTGATTATCGGTAGATTGATTTTAAGGGGCCTTGCTATAGCATTTATTTAAGGAGCAACATTTAGGCAATTTCTAATCACATCGTCGCCACCCGAGGTCTGTGTTAGTTGTAAATGATTATTAGTGTATGTGTGGTGTCAATGCGTATACCACTTCTTTCCGCACCATAATCCAGGTAGTCGTTCATTGCAATCGTTATCGCAGTATGGTAATATTTGATAAATTGTAGTTATCAAAAATTAGGAATCCACGTTTTGATGTACAACAGTAATTAAAAAAAAAATAACAGCAAATAGTTTGCAGTGCAATGTAATTCGTACTATTATTTCTAATATTTTGGTTCATGGTAGTCTCTTATTCCCTTTATGAAACCTTTGTGTTTTTTTCTTTTCGATAAAGGAGTTTTAGTTTTAATTTTATATTTGGAATTCATTTTTTCTAATTACAATAACTAAATAGTCTTTACAGAAACAAACAGGGCTGGAAATGGACCGGAACGCAGTTCCGGTACACGAAAAAAGTTTTTTAGCGTTCCGGTTCGTAAAAAAAATAACGACCGTTCCAGTACAAACAAATTTTTAGTGTACTTACCATATTTTGGTAAAATTTAAACATTTTGCAGGATTGTTCATTACAAAATATTTAATAAACGTCAAACGACCGTCATGCATAAGTACATTTATTGCTTATCTATACGATAATCGTCGTGGGCCGATAGTGTATTTTAGCTTTATTTACACCAGTGGTTCTCAAACTGTGTTACGCGTACTTCTTTGGGGTACTCGAGATTTTTTAAGGGGTACGAGTCTGGCCAACAAACCTTCACATTTAAATTACTTATGTGGAAAAGGTTATTCAAGTTTAAAAGTAAATATAGAAACAAGTTAAATATTGAAGATGGTTTAAGATCGTACTAAACTAAATTAGAACCCAATATTGATCTACTGTGCTAACAAAAACAAGTTAACCCTTCTCACTAATTTGTTTTGAAAGTAAGCTATTTTTGTTTTTAACATCTTTTGTGTATTATGTTTTAATGAAATAAATATGTAATTTTATAAAATTTTAAATTTTTTTATATTTATTTTAATTTTTCTAACTTAGAAGGGGTACCCAAAAAAGTTAATTGATAAAAAGGGGTACAGTGTTTATAAAATTTTGAAGATCCCTGATTTACACAATACGTATGTGAATTTGAAAAGTTAAAAATAAAGCATTATACCGGGTTCACACTATTGAAATTTCTTGTATGCTTTTTCCCGCATGCATATTTTTACTCGTGCAAGAACAAAATTGAACAAATTTAAACGTTTATAATACGTAACGCAAGCTCTTGCATGCTCAAACTTGCATGAAATTTAACACGTCAGACAGAAATGGAATGCAATTAGGTAATTTTAGGCCAGTTTATTCCCGAACACGTATAGTGAACCACGTGATCAATGTGATTTCTTAATTCAAAACAAACTGATTTGCCAACACTATTTCTTCTACTAATCCATTGTCGAACCTATAATCATTTTTTTAAAAGCTTCTTGTTTCTTTTCTAAGATTTCTTTACGAAGCATATCGCAAACAATAAGTACTCCTATTTTGTTTGGTCCATTTAACAGTCTCGTTATAAATTTAAAAAAACAACACTTCTACACACATCAGATCACTTTTGAAACTAAACAATATTTAAATACATACAAGACTAAAAATATACAAGCATAAGTATATGTGATTAGAGCTCTTAAAACATGTGTCACGGAATTCACGTGTACACGTGAAATACGTGTTAATCCAAATATATGTCCATTTTTATAATGATGAATTTGTAATTTTACGTTATGTATTTAAAGTTTTAATAAAATATTATTAGTACAGTATTAAGTTAAGGTTATACGTTCTTATTTTGGATTTTACACATGACACGTGAATTCACATGTATTAAGAGGTCTTATGTCTATATATGAACATGTACTTGCGTATTACTATGCATATTCTTGCATGATATATATTGCAAGCAAAACTACAGGCCAAGATATATGAAAATTTTATTTTTTAATCGATTATCGTTTGATAATACAGACTTAAAAACATTGCATTATTAGTCGTTTTAATCGATATAAAGTTATATTTTGCATATTTGTAACTATTGGTGATTTAGTTTGTTAGTTGTTTATAGTCATAGAAGAACATTTAGTTGATTTATATGACGTATCAAATCACTTTCTGAAGCATAATACTGGTTGAACATTGATATCGAATTCGAACGAATTAAATTTTTTTATTCATTCGCATTTTGATTTTAGAGTTTTCAGATTTTGTTTTAGGAAAGTAATTCAGTATCTGTTCAGTACAACGATCACAATGATGAAGAATGTGTCAATGTTGTCTGGCCAACTTAGTTCAAGAGATGCTAAAAATAATGGCAATAGTTACGATATTGTATTTCCAGCTTTGCCAGTATCGAAGACATCAAATAAAATTGGGACTGTACCATTTAAAAAACAGAATAATGTTAAATCTTCAACGGTGAACGAAGTAATTTATCATGCCATTTTAATAGTAATTAATAAGTATTAGAACGATCAGTCCGATATTGACTTGTAACACGGTCGTATGTCAGTGCGATTATAATTTGACCGTTCCGTTACCGCAATTTTAGTTAAGTTACTTTATTAGTTTATTTAAGTTAAGTTAGTTAGTTCAGTTCACGGTATTATATTTATGCGACTTCACTTTCAAGATGGACAACATACCATCTCCGCTTACTACCAAACCCAAATGGTCGCTGCTATCATTGTCTAATTCTCCTATCCATACGGGGAAAAGAACTAAACCATTAGTTTCGTCTAATCGTTTCGCTGTCTTTTCAAGCGAAGTGGACAAAGAAATCAAACTCGACACCTCTTGTGACGTTCATAATATAACCAAAGAATGTATTGTTTACTATTAATATAAAAACATCAGTCACTAAATATATCAGATGCCCTATTGGAATTAGATTCCCGCAAAAGAATTAAGAATGTCATTCAAAATGGCCATACGCTTCCGCTGTTCTTTGTTGCAATTAATCCAAATACAAATGATAAAAAAATTCTTAATGAGTCATCAATGTTGCACACAAAAGTTTAAGTTGAATTACCCAATAAGACTTAGTGATTCACCTCAGTGTCTGAAATGACATAGCTACGGTCACAATGTTAACTATTACCATCACCATACCGGAAATAATGGTAACCCTTCATCCTTCACACTGTGTTAAACGCAAAGGAAATCACTTTTGAAACAGTTACATCAAAGTGAAAGACAGTTTAACCAAGTGCGTATTTTGCGCGGATGATCATATTTCCAACTATAAAGGTTGTCCTAAACATAAATTACTTCTTAAACGTCACAAAACAACCCACTTGTAATCATCAAAATAAAAATATTGTACTCACGTCTCCTCTTATCAAACCTCTTTCCAAAGTTTCTTGTGCCCCCATCACTAGTTCTAATAATATCCTATTACCTAATAGTCCTATGGACGATATACCGTTTTCCAATTAATCTCAGGTTTTCTGGCATTAATAAATCTAATATTTTCCCTTTTTTTATATTATTATAGCTCTTCTACGCAATCAACTTACTTCCAAGCCCAAATTATTTTCTACCTTATTCATTTAAATGATCACGTCTTTAACCACTTGATATGTTATCCGTTACTTGTAAATTTTAATTGGTCAATCAAAATTAACTCTTATTTTATAATTATCTCAAATTATTATATTTTACTAATATTATTTTATGATAATGATTAAAATGCATACTTAGTTATCTTACATGATATAATTGTTGAGCTATAAAACTTTGTATTTAAAGGTAAATAAAAAATAAAAAATAACATAAAAATTATAGAATGATAATTTTCATATTAAAGAACATCATTATTATGATTTTAAATAACATTTTTCTGTATGAATAGTAATAGTTTAGAAAGTTTTTGTTGATTTATATCTAGAATATAAATAAAATATTATCTTGATTTTTATTTTGTAAAATTTGTAGATAATTTCAATACCTGCCCAAGACAGAAATTGGGACAGGAATAGTCAATTAGAGCATGAAAAATTTAAGAAAGCATATATAAAAATTGGGAAAGAGTATAATGTAGGAATAGAGATTTGTATTTCAAAAACCATGGATCTGACTTTACTAATCAGCGGCAATAGAGTTAATGTTGAACGAGCAAAACAAAAGATTATCATAATCGATCAAACTCAAGTAAATAAGTTTTAATTAAGTTGGAATTAATAAGATAAACTGATAAAAATAATATTTATTATATATATATATATATATATATATATATATATATTATATTGTTGTGTACAAATTATGAATAATTTATTATTATTATTATTATTATTTAATATTATAATATATAAATGAGCATAATAATTTAAAATGTTTGATGAATCATTTGTTATTTTATAGTTTTATTACGGATAAATAAATAAAAAATATTTTTTTTAGCAATTTTAACTAAAACATTAAAATTTCAGATTAAAACTACTACTATACCGTTTCCAAAAGAACATCGAAGTACGTTATTGGGCAAACAAGGACTTAATCTTAAAAATATTGAAAAACGTACAGGAGCACGTGTTCAAATACCATGCATGAAAAATTCAGCTGACATAATTTATATAACTGGAACAAAGGATTCCACGAAAAAAGTAGTTCAAGTATGTATCAAAAATATGTTTTAATGAATTGGAATTTAAGTTTAACACATTAAAGTAAATTAATTTTCGAAAAGAATGGCTAGAATGAACAGGTTGGAGAAAAATTGACAAAATAGATAATGCCTATTTTTAAAGTGGTTATTTGTGACCGTACTAGTTTATTTATTTTATTAATTAAATTAAAATTAAATCTTTTAATAAATATTTGAAAATTTCACGATTTCTAAATTAAAATACCGATAATTTTTATTATACTTTTATAGTAAAAAATAAATTAATGAGGATTTTAATATTGAATTTTGATATAACAATATACAAATTCAATGAACTTTTAATTTTAATATTACTTATAGGTTTAAAAGTTTTTAAAAGATTTCTGATATGTTTTTTTTAAAAAAAAATTTACAAGTATTATGTATTAACGAAATCGGGTATTTTAATAAATTTCCATTAAATAGTTTCTTTCGTAATTTTTTAATAATTAAAATTTTTGTTAGGAATTGGAGGAAATTATAATTAAGTTGAAAAGTAAAATTGAAAAAGAAATAACAATTGATCAACGTCACCACGGAGCGATAATTGGATTCAATGGTGAAAAAGTTCGAGAACTTCAGAAAATATTTAATGTCAAAATTATATTCCCAAGTCCAGGTAATTAATAGTATTAATAGTATTAATATGTTTCTATTTTTTGTATTTTGAGAGTTTATAAATAATATTTGGTTCGATATTTTAGTTGAGGCTAGAAATAATTTAGTTAAAATACAAGGTTTGAACGATGATGTAAATAAAGCATTTAAATCATTAGCTGAATTGGCCGAAGTATTGAATGAAATCAACTATGTGTTGGAAATTCCTATTTTTAAACAATTCCACAAACTTAGTGCTGGAAAGAGAGCAATATATATTAAAAAGGTAATTATTATTTATTAACTTTTGTGGTTCGACCTTTAGAAATATTTTTATTTATATAATTTAATATTATAGATTAGAAAAGAGACTGATACGAGAATTTTTTTACCACGTGAAGGAGACAATAAGGATGTTATTAAAGTCATGGGAAATAAAAGAAAAGTTTTAATCGCTTATGATATGATTAAAGAAATACAAAATGAAATTGTTGGTTTTTTATAAAGATTATTTATTGCTCAATTTTATTTTTGATTTATCAATCATGTATTTTTAGGGAGACATAATAACAAAGGAAATGGTGTTGGGAAATGTTAAAGTTAGAAATGTCATTGTAAATCTTGGGAATAAATTCATTCAATCTATAAAAGATGATTGTGGGGATAATGTGACATTGAATTTACCAACTGTTAAAGGAGATAATGTAAGAATGTACTTATTTATTAAACTTATAAATTAAAATGACAATTTAACCAATTTTATAAATTATTATATGCGTGATATACGCTTAGACATCGATTCGAACCTGGCCTCTGGCAGTTTCTCTCTTTGAGCAGGAAACGATTGTCTCAAGAGATGAAACTGCTTCTCCTCCCCTAATACAATAAGTACATGTTCAAGAAAATTTCCCAAATGCTAAAATCTATTAAAAAAATAGTAATCCGTTATTTTAAAGCTAAACTTTTATTCATAGACTATAGTTATCAAAGGACCTGAAGATGATGTTAAAAATGTTACTACACAAATTCAGACAATGGTTGATGAAGTTCATAAATATGTGTTTGATTTGAAAGTAAATCCGAAGTTTCACAAATATTTAATTGGAACAAATGGAGTCAATGTTAAAAAGGTATATTGTTAAAATAATTTAATATAAGGGTACAATGTGTTCATTTATGGTTTAATACTTGGATTCCAGATCAGACATTTAACGAATACAAGAATAATTTTCCCGCCTGAAACTAATTCCACTAATGAAAATATAACTATTGTTGGTAAAAAAGAGAATGTTAATATAGTAAAAGCAAAATTTGAAGTTATGATAACCAATATTAGTAAAGTCATCGAAGAACATGTAGAAATCAATGAAAAGAATCATGGCACTTTAGTTGTCAAACAAAAAGAATGTATACACAAATTGGAAAATGAATGGGGCGATGTTAAAATTGAATTTCCTAATATTGGTGCTGGAGATAGAGTTGTGATCAGTGATAGTAAAGCAGATGTTGCTCTTTCTGAACAAAGACTTTCAGACCATGCTAAAGTTTTGGTATGTATAATTCAATACAAATGCACGTGTATTAAACTAACCTGTCTATTTTTTATTGAAATTGTATTGAGGTTATATTTACATAATTTCTCATAGTTTTCTTTACAATAATGAACTATTGATGTATAAGTCATATAAAATGAAACAATTTAAGATAAAAAATTAAAATAATCATCGATGTACCTAAATACAACTAAATAAGTTAACCATATAATCATTAACAATTTTGATTTAGGAAAATACTATTCGAGCTGTAGTAAATGTTGATCCAAAGTATCATAATTACTTTGTTGCAAGACGTGGTGAAATTATCAATCGAATTATTAATGATTGCAATGGAGTGTCTATAACATTTCCGAAAATAGCTTCTAGTAATAGTGCTGTCATCATAAAAGGTGACAAAATAAATGTTGAAGAGGCGAAACGTAAGATTGAAGAAATTGTTAAAGACTTGGTTAGTATTTACTATACAAATATTTTTATACATAGTTATTGGAATTATTGAAATCATAAAATAAACCTATGACTAACAGTTATTACATAAAAAATAATTGAACACTTATTACCTTTTAATTTATTTAAATAATAGATATACCAGAATCATAATACAATAATAATAATTATAATTTCGTAATACATTAAAATGTTATAGAAAAATATAATTGAAGTGACTATGAACGTTCCTCCAAAATATCATGATCATTTTGTTGCCCACCACGCTGAAGTAATAAATCAGATAAGTGGGAAACATAATGGAGTTACTATTAAATTTCCACAAGTTAATTCCAATTCTAGTCAAGTTTTGATTAAAGGCCACAAGGATTATGTTGAAAAAGTTAAAAATGAAATCGATAATATTATTATTGACTTGGTAAGTTGTATACCAACACTTATTGTTTTATCGTTAAATTATTAATCAATAATCATGTTACACAGCGGCGTAGCAGTGGTGCAGTAGGTGCGACACATCGAGGCCTTCGTGATTTGGGGCCCTCATTTAAAAAGAAAACTGATATGAACAAAAATAGAAGCTTGCGTTAACTACAACCAATTGTTTGTTTTAATTTTTGGTAGAAATAAATAATGAAAATACTATTTTTTTTTCAAAATTTCATCAACGTTTTTTATTGTTAGATTAGTCAAAGTAATTAAAGTAATAAATTGAAATGTAATTATAATGAAATAAAATATATTAAATACGATAAATTTAATATAAAAATTACTATATTAACAAACTTATTGTTAATTGCTAATTAGGTTTTTTTAGTATTTCGGGTGTGGCCCCCACCATTTTAAAATCCTGGCCACGCTACTGAAAGATAATATTCTTTATTACATACAATGAACTTAACTATAGTTATAAATATTTTTATTCCATATTAATCGATGTAAAAAAAATAGAGGAGGGTTATTAAAGAGTTCTAATAGTGTTTTTAAATGACTTAATACATTGGGAATTTGTTAATCAAATTTACCTGCTGTTATACTTCTATTATATTTGGTTTATCTGTAAAAATAATCTCAGCCAAGAATGATTGTTATAATTTCAATATTCTACAAAATATGACGTGTTCCTATAATTCATTTTACGAAATCATAGATTATATTTAGTAATAGGTAATAATAATTTGTAAAAATATTTATAAATACAACTACATTATGTTGCTAAAGCAAAATCTTCAAATATTGTTATTAAACGACGTCAGTTAACCAAAGTATTTGTGTTTTATAATTTATGATAGGTTCTGTATGTTTTAATTTTAAACTAAAATATTAAAAATGTTTATTTCGTGAAAAATACAGTATTTGTTTTTTTTCCTCTTAATTATATTTAACTTTTATGTCTTCTCATTTATTTAAATTTTACTTATTGAAGAAATAGTAAGAATAGTAATCAGCAAGTATTTAATATTTTTTTTGCCGACCGAAAATTTGGTGGATCTATGATAAGAGGACTTCCGCCAGGTTTCATCATTCTCGATGATAAATTCATTGAGTAGTTTATCAATTTAGAATAGTAATCTATGGATTAAAGTTAAGTAATAATATTATTTTACCCGTTCACCGTCAAGCAACATACGATAACGGGTTAAGATATTGGGTTACGGCTAGATAGAACGGTCAGGGATTTTTACATTTTATTGTGTATGACCTTCCGGTATTATTAGAGAATGTACCATTGGAAGAACAAGAATCAATGTAGTTTATGTTAGAAGTGTACCTCCTCATCATACAAATGCAGTCCGACAACAATTATATTATCTTTTCCCTGACAGACTTATAGGTAGAGGAGTTGGAAACAATGTTCAATATAGCCCAGATATAACATGGCCACCACGCAGTCCTGATTTTAACCCATGTAACTTTTTCTTATGGGGTTTTATGAACGAAAAAGTTTATGCCAAAAAAGTAAATAATAGAGATGAACATTTGATGAGAATTAATAATGTAGCTGATATCATTGGTCAAATGAATTGCAAAAAACTTGGAGTTCATCACATCGTCGTGTAGAAAAGTGCATATAAGTTAACGGGGGTCACATTGAACAACTTTTGTAAATAAAAATTGATTTTAAAATTAAAATGTATTTAATTATGATGTTTTTACAATGTTAAAGCTGTTTTAATTACTTATATGTGTTAACTGACAACAAACTACTATCACCACTGTTTATCTTGAAGTGTTCTCATACGAATCGATGTGTCACATGACTTTTTTTTTAGTTGGCGACTCGAGCGTGAAAAAACACGCGACAAGCCAAAAAACCGTGTGACGTCTCGATTCGTATGAGAATTTTGCAAAAAATACACACTTTAGAACAAACACTTTAGGTTTATTTTTAGATTTATGGTAATATCCTAAAAATAAATTGAATAAACCAAGATTTTAGAGATTGAAAAAAATTGAAAAAACTCTTTGGGAATACACAGCGGGTACGTGTATACTAGTGTCCTCATTCATTTCAGAAACACTCTGTATATTTAAATCAAAGTAAAAAAATCATGTTAAATAATCGTTATTTGAGATATGCCATTTAGTTTTATATAAGTATGGGTTTGAATTTCTGTAAGAAATTTACTAAAAATATGAACATGAACGTATCTAATTATACTACAGTGTATAGCAAGATTCATTTAACGGGGGTGTTTTAAAATTGAATAGACTTATAGTAAGTGAAGGTTCTTTCCCCCCACGTATTACATTTATAAATACCATATATTTGTATAAATTATTATATTAATGAAAATTATTTCACATATACTTATGTTTATTTTAATTATACCGTAAGTAAGTTTGCAATTTGGTGAAATACCATGAAATACAATCGATGGGGAGTGTTCCAACACCCATATCACTACCCTCCCCCCCCTAAATACGCCACTGGTGTATAGCTTCATTATCTTGACGCAGCACGGTAGTAGTACGGAGGGCTCTCGCACGCACTCGCACGCTCATATCAGAGCGTAATATTGTGATCGTGAAAAAATGATTATTTTTCACTCTAACATATGATTCTAATTCAAACAATACGTCGCAACGATTATCTCGATTTGCATTCTGAAAAAAATATTTTTAGCACAACAGGCACATTAAAAAAATTGTATTTAGTTAATTAAATATTTAAGTTTGAAATTCTGTATTTTTTTTGAATTTTCAAAAATATTTATTGCAATTCAAATTACAAAAATTAAAAATATTACTCAATCGTTCCCTTGTACATATTTTGGAGAATCCGTATATTTTTTTAAAATTAAAATCGTGATAATTGTCGACACGTAGCGTTGGAATTAGGAAAAATAGTTTTTGTTAAAAAAAAAACGTGGTGGTGAGGCCCCTTAAGATTTTGTGCAACCATTTCTCCTTTTAAAATTTTGCTTAAATTATAATTAAATCTAAAATAATCAAAATGTTTTAAGGACCTTATATACATTTAGAGGGTTTAATTCTACCCTAAGTCCCCTCACCGTGCATCAATTACAGGACTGGTAAATTATTTGGCATTAAATCCCAAGTAATAGTTTAAATCCCGAATAGTTGGTATTTTATTTTTTATCTAATCAGTCTCATGATTATCATTCTGGAAGAAATGGTATATGTAACGAACAGAACCATAAACTAAGGCCACAGATATCTATATTATACTAGATAACGAACTACTGATGTTTTCTATTGAGAAAAGTGAAGTCCGGGGACGCAAGATTATCATACGTCCGCCATGTTTTCGGTTGGCAAAACATTACTTTACACTAAATTATTAAATTAAACATTTTTCATTACGTTTAATCAAAATTAAATTTCATTACAGAATTGAGAATATTAATTTAAAATTACACTATTGATTATTTATATAATATATATTGATTATATTATACTCGTAACCAATGAGTATACAATTTTTTATGATTACTGCCAAGAGTATATGAGTATTAATATTAATAACAAATAAATTAAAAAACTAAGCCTTTTTAAACGTACTTCTTTTATGGCGATTGACAAGTATTTATAAATATTATTTATTGTTATAAGACACAATTTTTAATATTTAATTCATATTTCAAATAACAATACATTGTTATATCCTAATACGAGCTATAGCCTAATAGTTTTAGGAAAAATCGTTTTAAACTTAAATGAGAGGGTATATAAACTATTACAACCTAACAGATCATAGTATTCCATCGGTTAATGTGTTAAAATAAATTTTTGTAAATAAAAAACATTTAAATTTAAATAATATTTTTTGGCGCCCTACTGTGATGGGAGCAATGATGAGACAGATAATCTATGTCTAATATTACTTGTCTTATTCTATTCACGTTTGTTAATAATTATCATTCTTACAAATTATGTTTTTTATAATTATTGCCCATTATATATATTAATACTAATAAAATAAAAAAATTAATTATTATTTCTTTTTCTTTTTATTAGAGTAAACAGCCGAAATTTAGGAGCCGATTAAAAGTAAAATAAACTTACTATTGACAATTACTTATCTACTTACTCCCAGGAATAACGGTACGTCGTTTTTATTTTGAATAACAACTTTAATTATAACAAAATTGATTAAATTTATGTTTTTAAGCTTTGCCTTAATTTTTTTATATTTAATCCATTAACTTATTAAACTTAAAACAATTAAGTATTCTCCGTTGTGTAAATAATATTTTTCCATTACATAAATCAATTTTTCTCCTTTCTATATTTAGTTAAATTATTAATATTCTAAATTTATAAATTAAATTTCAATTTATTTGAAATGGTATTTGTTTTTTATTGTTAAATATATTTTTGTGTTTTAACTGCATGAGTAATCTCTAGACCTCTTTACATTTTTTCTTTTGTTATTAAAGTATTCATTTTTATTAACAATTTAAATATAATGTTTTTAATACATTTATTTATATTTTTTCAGTACATAATAATGTTTAAAATTATGACATAATTTATATATTCCCCGGCCGCGTATTTCCAAACCGGCTAGAGCGGAGGTTCCCAACTTTTTTTGACTCACGACACCCTTTAATATTTTTTAAAAATTTGGAGGCACCCTATAGCCAATGCTTTATACTCTATAGTTTATACTGAATAAATTTTTTTTTTAAGAAATTAGTATCTGTTTATTTATTTATATGAGTTATTATATTAACGATATCAATTGTGCCTAATTGATAAAAGAAAAATATATTTGCGTGGTTTTTTTCAAATAAACCAATTAAAACAGCGTATTTGTATACGGCACTGGAGCTCTAGCTAGTTTGGTAATACGCTCCCCGTCCTCCAGGCACAAGGAAACTTTTTTTGACATACTTCTTTTATCGCGACTGAAGAATATTTAAAAATATGATTTTTACGTTGTAAAATATGATATATTTTCAACATTTAATCCATATTTCAAATAAAAATACATTGTTGTATTTGTAGATAATTATATTCTAACATGCGCTATAGAATAATAATTTTAGTATAAATCGTTCTGAAACTTAAATGAGGGTATATAAAAACTTTTTCAACTTAAACAGATCTTAGTATTTTATTGG